TTTTTTAGAATGCCTGTTTTATAAATTTATTGTAAAATGATTTTCAATTTTTTTCCCTTATTTGGAAATGTGTATATATGATTCAAAACTAAAAGTCCTTTGATAATGATCAGTTTTTGGTCCCTACTTTTGGAAATTTTTTGAATTGGTTTTAAAATCCTAGTTATAATTCTATAACCCTTCAAAAGCTGTAGCTTTAAAATTTTATTAAATACAGAAAAATTGTGTGTTAGTAAAACTTACTTTCAATTAAGTTTGTTCTTTTTTTATTTGTAATCATGACTCTTACTGTTTGCAATTATTCAAAGTAACCATATGGGAATATGCTTATGTATTATTTATATCTTTTATATTTTTTCGTAGCTGACCGAATCAGTTACCTGGGCACTTGGGCATTTGTTGACCTTTTGCTGAATTTTAAACGCCATTCGCCGCAGGTGCGAATGTCGTGACTTGAATTCCCGGCCTTTTCTTGGCGCGCACCCAAACTTTTCTTCAATTCTCCTTCTTTTTTTGCGGTTGTTCCCACCAAAGAGGAGTGGCGGAAGGTCAACAGCCGCAAGGCCTAGCAATCAAAAAATAAGAATGAATTCTAACAACGAAACAAAGACGAGGGCGAAAGAAAAGAAAGTTACTTGGCGGAGAAATTTACATTTTATTTATTGATTAAATTTACCTGCACAGACAATCAGCCAGCTGAATTTATTACAATATTTCACCGCAACTTTAGTTCAAACCAGAGGCTTAAAAACGTAATTAAAAGCCATCTGTGTGTAATATATGGAATGTATGTGCGTAATATATTATCAGAATGTGACCCTTAGCCATCGGACTAATTAATTTAAATAGCTCATTTCACAGCGTTTCAGTTTTCACGATGATTAATCAAACGATGCAGCAGTATTGTGAAAAATATATTAGCATGAAACAAGCGGTATAAAAGGTAAATAAAAAAAATAGATTAAATATTCAAAATGTTGCAGCAATTTAAATGATCAAATTAAGTGACTAAGAAAAACAGTTCATAAAATTTACCACAAATTGTAAGGTTTTATATGAAATTTAAATTTTTACTCACATATTAATATATTTGTAGGAATTTGGTTAAGTCCAATTTTGTTGATATGCTTACCTAAAAAGAGATATACAAAAGTGTTAAAAACGTGTTATTTCCAAAGCTATACAAACTATAAAAACAACAATTTTTCATATCCAATAGTTTGAATTTCGTGTAACAATTTTTGTTTGGGTTTGCTATTCATTTATAAGCTGCATGTCACACAAACAATGACCATCAACTTAGAGAGTAATTCATTTAAATACCTATTTTTAGCTAGATGATTAAATTAACGTTGGCAAATAAATGACGCAGTTTTGTGAAAAATATCCATGCATAATAATATTGTTCATCAATTGGAAGCGTATCGCATTACGGGCCATGTAAATGCGGATGAGGACCTTCGACTTTCGCATCCTGCGGCAGGAAGTGAGTGGAAAGGGAGGGAAAAGGGGGGAAAAGGATAAGCAGGTTGCCCAAGCTCCGACCTTCGAGTTCGTTGCCTTTGATGTCGCCCAAAATGGTTAAAAATGCATATTAAATGTGTGGACTGAGTGGATTCATTCGACTACTTGACAATTAGCTAATAGGAATACGAATATAAAATTATATGGGTAGAGCGGGAGAAAAAGACACAAACTTAGGAATAAATAAAAAGAAAATAAACTGAAGGTTTTCCTAAAAACAGCCAAGTGAGTATTTTGTAAAATAATGAATTACTTCTAAGATTGTTAGTCTATAAAAGTTTTTAATTAATAAAATGTTTATTAAATGCCCCTTATATGCCTAGGTAAAATTCAACAATAAAAATGTAACTTGTTTAAAAATTGCTTAAGAATTATTTATTGTTGAAAAACTTAAAACCCTAACTCGAAAATTTCAAAAAATGAACAAGTACTAGAGAACGAAATATAAAAGCTTGTAAGAGAAAATAAATGATTTTGAAACAAAAGGAACAGCTGCAAACAATATTAAAAGAAATTTTTTCTTACATTTTTTCTTTTTTCTTTCTCTTTAAACACACTTCCCAAGAGTATAATATTTTTCAGTCAAAATTTTGCAACATAGTGAAGGACTTAATTTTACATCGCCAAAGATAATGAAATGCAAGATGTGGCACAGCTTTTTTGTTTTTGAATATAATAAATATAAATACATTTAATTTAAATACACTTTAATACAGTAATAAAGTTTAAGTAAGGCCTTTTGAATTTCATTACAATCGCACAAATAGCTGACACTGGAAAAATCAGTCCACTATATTTTCATTGTTATTAAACTTGTAACTCGTAATGCACTAGTTTTATTGTGTTGCTTTTTTTGTGTAGTAACTGCAAGAGTATATAAACATCAGGCTGAGAAAGTTTGAGTTCTTTCTTGTTTTCTCTTAATGTTCGTTTTGATATGAATTGTTGTTGCTATTGTTATGCTTCCATAATTTTCAGCTTCAAAGTTTCCATTTCTCATTTTTATATGCACACGTTAACAGCCAAATGTTGAAGGGTAGCAAAGAGTTATATGGTATATAACTTCTATTTAAATTTTAAAAAGAGAAATGTATAAAGAAAGCAATTTATCAATGCCCAAAGATGTAAAAGATTACTATGAATCTTTTAACATTTTAAGAATTCAATTATAATCAATTTATAATTGATAAATGATCTTTCATAAAATATTATTTTAAAATAATTTCTCTTATATTTTTAGACTTAAACTTTAACCTATTTAATCTTCAAATGAAAGTTAATTGTTTTTCTAATTTTCAGTACCAAATAGTGCCACAAAATAATGAAGTATTTAAAAAGGGTATTTCTTAAGGTATATATTTTTCTTTTTGGAATCTTATTTCATTTTTTTTTTTTTTTGAGCCAGCAGTTGCAGTTGGCTGGGACATGAATGAACAATAACGTAACGAGACTTGGGAAAGTTGCGTTAAGCAAATTAAAAAGGAAATTCGTTCTCGCACCCACCCACACACACACGCACTCATTCCGAAGGGTGCGGGGGGTGTGGCCGGATATTCGGAGGCTGGCAAGGATGAAGTTTTGTGTTTTTTTTATTTTTTGGGGGGCCTTGTCGGTTGCTCTGGCTATTCCATTCTTGAAGTGCGCACTTCACTCGAGTAATTTGCCACGACACGCGCACTCACACACAAACAAAAATTGTACACACACATGCACAATCACGCACGCACACACGCACCCACTCACAGCTGGCAGCCATTTTGACACACACACACACGCACATGTGCTGACATTTAGATTGAAAAACGAGCCAAAAAGCAAAGGAAACATATAATCGAAAAATGCTTCGCCAAGGGGAAATGATACAAAGCAATGCTTTCGTGTAGCTGCCGCCAGGGGGCGTTACAGGTGTGCATATGCACAGCAGCGGCCAAAATAATAGCAGTACGCATAGGGAGAAGTCCGAAAATGTTATGGCAATCTTAATGATTTTAAAAAATTCACTTCACTTCACTTAAAAGTTTTATTTGTCAATTTTATGACGAATTTAACGGTTTATGACACTGCAACTTTTACCCATTACATCCAAGGGTTTTGATACTAAAAACTGTTTTTATCTATCTATCCCCGATCGATTGAGAAAAATTAATTTTGTTTTGATACCAAACCCGATTCTTTAAAAAGCGCTTTTTGAAAATGTATTTTATGACTCATTTTTAAACTTTGGGTAAGGGGTTGAAAAATGTTAGCTGTGAATATCATTTGGTTGGAAATGTTATGATCAATTCAATGATGTATGACATTCTACTTTTTGATTATTACTTCGCAGAGTTTTGACATAAAAATTTATTTCTTAAATGTTAATTTGAATTTTTTTTTTTAACGGCAAATATTCGGGAAAAATAAGATTCATTAGCTGTGAATGTCACTAAATTGGAAATTTGTATTGCACGAATTTGTTATATGCATTAAACCATATCCTAAGCACGTTCAAAAACTTAACTTTATACAAATTTAGCTAATATTTTTTGACCTCCCCTGTACACATGTGTATGTGTTGGTGACCGTGCGTGTGGCAAGTGAAGTGAAGTGAAGTGAAGCGTATGCTAAGTTTTTATTGAAGTGCATACAAACAAACATGCCCGAAGGCGGTTCGTTCGGCCGGAGGGAAAACTGTTGACACTGCCCCCGTAGACTTTTCCCTCCCTCTGCCCCTGCCTCTGTACCACCCGCCCCCCGGCCCTTTGGACCAAGTTCGAAGCTTGTCGCTGGTAATTTTCCTGTGTTACAACAACAAAAGCGAAGGTAGATAAAGGAGAAGTGGCAGCCAAAGTAGATAAAGCCGCCGGAGTCGAAGCCACCTTAAATACAATTTAAAACCGTAGCCATCATGCTGAAGAACACTGCGAGAAAATGTGTACTAAAAAAATATAGTCAAAGCAAAGATAAATATTAAAGTCTATTACCCAAAATTTCGTAATAAATACAATTTTGTATATTTAAAAAATCATAAGGAAGTTAAAAAGTCAAATTCTAATAATAACACAAACAATAAAAGAATAAAAATGTATATAAATATTGTTAAAACAAAGAAAAAAAATAAAATCTCTTACCTAAAATTTCTTTGAAGAAATTTGATTTGAAGAAATCAAAAATATTAAATTTTAAAAATATATTGCTTATTAACAACAACCACATTAATATTTGTTTTATGAATTTATATAAACACGTATGCTCTTTGTTAATCTTTTTTATCATCATAAACGTGTCTTTTCCAACAATAATGTGGATTATCAAAGCTAGAACAGGTAGACAATGTTACGCGTTTTTACGTGAAAACCGGAACAGACAGTTTGGACAAGATAAAGAGACTTAACTGATTAATTAGTTCGACGCAATATCATTTTTTTCATTAAGTAAGTACTTGTAGATATCATGCTTCGCAATAAAAAGGTGGGTAAGAATTGTTTTCCAAATCAGTTTGGTGTCTTCGTCATTGCGAAATAGTTATCAAACATGAAATATCCCACAATTATTTTGTTCGCGCTTGCCGCATACGTTTTGCCAGCTTTGGCAGGAAATGACTATCTTTGGGGCGAGATTGGTGCCAATGACTACAAATTGGCCAAGGATACGGTTTCGAAGGCATTCTTCGTTGGTCTTGTGCAGACCAAGAAATATGTGTTCAAGCAGTCGGTAAATATAATATTATATGATATTAATTATATTAAAAATAATAATATGTGTGATTAAACAGGAGAATCTGAACGCTTTAACCATTACGGCCATTCGTGTTACCGACAAAAAGAAAAGCCATGGAGCAACTGTAGTACTCGCCAGTGGCGGTCCTGGATCGAAAGGTGCCACTCTTAAATTTACATCTGAAAGAGGCTATGGAATCAAGGATGTAGTGGAGATATGGGGTCGTTAAAATACATTCCCAAATGAATCCGTAAATAATGAGATCCTGTGCAACGAATCCTTATGTGCTTGTGTTTCTAAATATACAGCCAAGACGAGGCAAAAATAAGGACATTTCATGTCCTAGCAACTCTTTAAAATAAAGCCTTTATTATTATTTGATTAATAGACCAAGTCACCAAGGCAGGGATTTTATGTCTAAAACCAAAAAATCAAGCGATGTCCCTATTGCTTTAACAAGATAAACTTGGCCAAAATCGGTTAAATTGAAATTAAATCGATTTAAAATACCTTATTAAAAAAAAATGTATTCAAAACAATCAATTTTGAACAGTTTGAAAATACTCTTTATTGGGAAGAATATTTTTGTATCCGGCTCGAAGGACCAAAATGATGTAGGGGGCAGCTGTTGATATTTTATCTAATTTTAATCAAATTAGTTCAACAAAAAACTAAATCTAAATCGATATTGAATACAATTTGTCTCTGTGTTGTCAGGTTACATTGGTTTCACCAGAAACGCGGTAGGTAGAAAATGAATCCAAACAAATCAAGAGCCCCAACAGAGTTAGCAACAAAAGCGATAAAATATATATAAAGAGGGAAAGTGAGTCGAAGTTGAAATACACTTTGAGTGCTGTGTTGACAGACGACAAAAACTGTTTGTAAAAATAAACAAATTAAGAACAGTGGGCACAGCTGATTGCGAAACTATGAAGAAACTTTGCGAAAATTTGCTGTAGACTAAGAAAATTAAAATTGCTGACTTTTTGGGTTGGTTTTTATTTTGGGGTGGTGTTTTTAAGGGTGCTGTTTCCCCATTTTATATTCCACAGCCACTGATGACGGCGATGCCAACGACACAAAAGTTGAGTTCAAACACTCAATCATTTTTACACCCGACTATGCACACACACACACACACACACACACACACACACACACACACACAAACAGGCGCACACTCTTACACCAGCAAACATCTGTTGTGTCCACACAAACACAGACACACACATACACGCACAGAGACACACACACAGGTGCAGTGTAGCGTATTTGGCTATAAATAAATTTTCAATATTTTTCCTTCTCGCCAAAAAAAAAAAAAAAAAAAAAAAAAAGGGAAGGGAAGGGAAGGGAAGGGGCGGTGCTCGATGGTAGGGGCAGACATTTTGAATTTTCTATCACCATTTTGCTTATTTTTTTTGTGGCTGTCCCGCGTTAACTGAATTGCAATTGAATTTAATTATTTTTAGCGCAAACACGGCGGTGGGGAAAAAAAAGAATGCCAGCAACGCTTATAAAATCCTGTGGGGGAAATTTAAAATGTTTTCAGCTGCGCAACAAAGCAGAAATTATCTCCAAGCCCTGTGTATCAGCCAAAAAAAAGATATATATATTTATATATATTTATATATATATATATATATATATATATATATATATATATATATATATATATGAAAGCAACTCAATCAATGTGCTCCAACGACTCAATTTCAAACTAAGGTGTGTGTCAACACTTTCGGAAAAAAACCAGCCAGGTTGTTCAAAGCAGTGCGAGCGAGAGGAACGCTGATTGCTTTGTTTATTATTAAATATAAATAATGAAAAATCAATAGAAATTTATTTATACATATTCATCAATATGTATACGAATTGCGCCCAACCGAGGACATCGCCAACAAAATGAACAACATCCCAACTGACACACACAAAAATACAGCAGACGACAAAAAATAGCACTAAATATAAATTAATATCCAGGGTATGCTTTGAAGTATTTGCTCTAATTACACCTTTTTTAAGTTTCCTAACTAAACATTTTTAGAACCAACATTTTTAGTTTTTTTAATTAAATTTAAAGAATTTATTGGTTATAAATAGAAACAAAAAGTAAGTTAAATTTAATAACCTTATAAATAAAAGTATAAATAAAGGTTTCCTTTTGTAAAACATAGTATATATCAACAAACAGTTTATGGCTTAATAAAGCAAATGCCGAAGAAAAGTATTGTAGTTATTTAAATAATTCAATAATAGTACAACAAAAATTCCCTGACCTATTTTTTTGACACCAGTTGTACTTTTAGGCCAAAGTTCATGAGACAGGGCAAAGGGGTCAGCAGCCACAGGCGCGGGGCTTCTGTTCTGAGTGAGGGAATTAACTTTAGGATAAATTTGTCATGTTGTCGAACCAAAAAAAATGAGAACGACAAACACCGAGGGATAACTCAATTATTTATGTTGTATGCATGTGCATGTAGCCGGCTCTAAACGGATTAAAGGGTTCGGCCCAGAGGTGTTACACTCGTGACTGTTGCACCCACTTTTCCACATTTTCCAAACAATTTCGTACTCTTGAGCTGTCCAAATAATCTGCTTAAAACCTAAGCCAACTCTGACATATATCATTACACTTCTCTCAATATTTTTTTTATTAATTTATTTATTTATATCTCACTTACTTAAAATTGTTGCCAATCAACAAATACTTTAAAGTCAACATTGATATCACTAAGATAACTTGTATTGTTATGGCTTACTTATCTATGAGCTGTATACCAAATGCTAGATTGCCTTCAATTGCAAGTAAACTATATTACATTTAATAAAAATTTTGTCATTTTAAATGTTTGGTCATTACTTAAATATAAAGTAAAAAAAAGTACTTAAAAATTGCAAGTAAACTTTAATAAATTCGATACAATTTTGGCATTTTATATGCTAATTTAATAATATTTCAAGTCAAAACTCTTATTTCTCCTAATAATTGGTATATATCTAGACATACACACAAAACATAGAAACTAAACTTTTATTACATTAACTTTAAACCTTGGGTATGAAAAATTTAAAATTTAAATTTAAAAAATTTAAAATGATTTTTAAATTAATAACAGTAAAAGTATCAAAATAAAACTAATGTGGCTAAAAAATAAGGCTGACTAGTTTTAGACTCTTCGCTATAGAAATTAAACTATCAAGTATAGGGTTTAAAATATTAAGTATAGAAACAATACTTATACTTTAGTTTTTATATTTTAGTTATTATTTCCAAAACGCATTTATTAAAACTAAACTTTCACTTTTCTTTTGTGTATACAGTAAATAAATCTAAATATTGATGTACCGAGAGTAGTAATTTAATCTTTTTCCTACTCAATCACACCCTGTAATCCAATCACCTTAATAACTTTCTAACTAGTGGCAATGCAATGCAGCAGATAACAAAGTCAACAAATTGTTGAAAAAATGCCACCCAGTATCCCACAATAATCGGATTCCCAGAGCTCCGGTGGAGAATGAATATATCTTTTAAGTTGATTACTTGCCCAGGAATTCCAGCTGGATAAAACAGATCTTTGTGCAAATTGAACACTTTTCACCCCTTTTTCCGCTCAGCTTTGCCCACTCCCCAAAAATTCAACACTCAAGTGGCAATTAAGTAATAAGATTACAAGCACTCCATTTCGTTTGTAATGTTGCCAAACGTGTATTTAAATTAATTGCTTGAAATTAGAATTTTATTGGCAGTCGTCATGGCGAGGAATGAGTTTTTTGGATTATTCTGTTTGAGATTCACATCGATTACCCTGCTCCTTTGGCTTATATCCGCACTCTGTATAGTAATTGAATGAATACGCAATTCAATTTTCGTTGCATTATTCATGGCGATTTTTCGGTGGATGCCAGCATAATTGCGGTCAATTGAATTTGCAAATTGCCAATTATAATTACAGCAACAGCTACCAAAATGTAGGGGGATTTCTACATAAATTGAACTGAAAATTGTCATTTCAATTAACTGCAAGTCTGTCGCTCTTTTACACAATGAGTTTTGCCTAATAAATAAATTAGTTTAAATAATTGCGGGTCGCTGGAGGAATATTAAAAGGAGTGCGCATAAATTTTAGCCTTTAGGAAATTATCAAATTTGAAATATCAAATTAACCCCAAAATATGTTAATCCTTTCATAACCAATCTTGGCAATTACCGACCTCTTAATTAACTGCTAATGCATCAATTAGTTTTCTATTCTGTTGGTTTTCCATAATTGGTTGTCTTTTGCCCGCCCACAAATTGAGGTTCTCTTGATTAAATGAAGTTGCGATTACATAATCATCCATCCTTCAGCTATCCAGCAATCGGGGCAATCCATCTATATTTCAGCAATTAAAATGCATTATCAACTGTCAATTGCCTACTGATCCAAAATGTATGCTGCAGAAATGCTCAACTCAATTATCCCAGTTAATTGGCATATGCCAAGAGAGTGCTCAGTTATTGTTATTGAACATTTTATAACCACTGCACTGGGAGCAAAAAAAGACATCTCTAAAGTTATATCAACGTTAAGAACATATATTTGTTTTATTTTCAAAATTAATTTGCTCTAAAGGCTATTAAATTAGCTTACTTTAATTTTAAGACTAAGTAAATTCATTTTTTAAAACAGTTCATTAAAGTTCCCTTATAAATCATAAGTTAAAAATGCTTAAATTATATTTTTTCTTTCATTCAAAAACCAAGCAGTTTCCATTTCAAAATCGTTTACTTTCTCTTAAAAAACTTTGGTTTTTAAAATCTTTTATGTTTTATTTAAAATAGAAATTTGAATTATTAAAAAAATATTTAAGGGTATACATAAAATATTCATATACGAATAACTTTCAGTTAACATACATTTCAAAAACAAAGCAAATTTAATTAAATATATTTTTAAAACAATTGTAATTTTATTGCTTAATTAAATCTTGAAAAACTAGTAGCTTGTTAATTAACTTTTAGAGTATTCCTTTTTAAATTTTTAATTAAATTCTGCTATTTTTTTCCTCAGTGCACTTGTGGTTATTGATGCATCCCCAAAATATTGAAATTCGACCAATGATGATCATCATCAGATGATGAAAATGATTTGTCGTCAAGCCACTCAAATGCAAAGCGTTTAGACTGAGGTTATTTTGGGTGCAAGAAGGTTGAATGGGCGGATGGGTGTGCTGAAGGTCACAGTTTCCAGGGGGGAGTGGGGGGGGGGCAGACTATAACCCGCCCCCACCACCCTCTGTTGGGGCTTCATGTTTCATTTCATTTCGGTTTGTTACGCAATCAAAATGACTGACAGCTAAATATGCATAT